CCCCTCTAGCTCTGACTAGACGAGCGAACCATGCGCTCCTCCGCTGGGCGAGATAGGGAGCCCAATTTCCCTCATCTCCTCCTCCACGACTGGCCAAGCTGAGCCCCACCTACCTCTCTCTCTAATTGCTTCCATGGCTAGCTTCAAAAGCCAATGGCAGTTCCCCATCAAACCCCCCATAGCCAATTTGTCTGCACCACTAGCCTTGCCTTGACTCCCTCTCCACCCTGCGCGTGCTAGCGGAACCACTACCGCCTCCCCATCACCGCTGACGTGGCCGTGTCCACCGTGGATCATCGTCGAGCTTGCCGTGCGCACATAGCTAGCCCATCCCCGGCCTCCTCTGCTACAATCACCACACCGGTTGAGCCAGCGGTATGTCCCTGGTTCTCGCTCGTTAGCCGGTTAGGTCCTTAGGTGCCCTGGTTCGCCAGAACAGTCGCGCCACCATCGTGGATGCCCGCACATCACCGCAGCTTGCTCCGGCAAGTCCCGCCGCCCCGCGTTGCCGCTTAGTGTAGGCGTTTAGGCCGTAGTTGGAGGTGGGCCCTATCGATGGGCCTGTGTGAGCCTCTGGTGGCCGGCGTAGCCACCCAATGCCAATGCTCGCTGTGCGCGTCATGCACGAGTTAGCCAGGGGTGTGTGTAGGAAATTAGAGGAAGGCCAAGGGGTTAAGTGAAGAGGTCAGAGAGAGAAAGAATTAGTAAACGGATGGCGACATAGTTTCAGAAAAGATTAGGGCCTCTTTTGCAAAACAGTCATGCCCGCGTGGGTTTCACTCTTGGGCCACGTTGATGGGTCGGCCGACGCGCACGGTCCACGCGTTTGTGGGCCACGAGGTTGGTTTCGTTTTTTCTTTTTCTTAGAAATAGGTAATAGCTTTCTATTTTAATTTCTGAGCTAGATTTGTATAATTAATATAAATTTGTATAGGTGTTCAAAAATTGTGAAACTAATTTTGTTAGATTCCTAAAATCATTGTCTACCTGATAGTGTAGTTAGTTCATACATATCTATGTTGATACTAAAGGCTATTAAATCATTTGAAAGTTCTTAATATTATTAAGGTAATTATTATAGGAATTTTTATGGTAATTTGGTGATAGCTTTAATCCTGAAAATTTTACAGTAGCTTCATTGTATTATTATGTGCTCACTGTAATTTTTGTAGCCTTAGACTGGACTAAACATTAGGGTAGTTAAATGTTCTATGTTTAAATATACATTAAATCTTTAATAGAAATAAAGGCATACCATTGAATTGCGAAACTAGGCGCTTGTTAGTTGAACTCAATATCTTGCTTGATAAAAATGATAATTGGCTTAGTATCTTAGTCATTAGAGCTAGCTTAGTAGCTTAACATATATATTCTTATTTTAAGAGTTGTTGTTGCCTAAATACTGAATTGTTGCATCATCATCATCGCATGCATATAGAGAACTAGTTAGCGGAGATCGTGACCACCGGCGAGCCCGAGTTCGAGGAGATTGTCGAGGAATACGAGGAGGAGATTCTCGTGCAGGAGAAGGTCCTGGAGCCATCACTGACTGACTCAGCTGACACCACGCCTGCCCAAAGGCAAGCCCTGGTGCATAACCCTTATTTTTTATAATCACCGTAAATATATGTGATGTGCATTTACGTTACAAGAATTCTATGGAAACCACATGCATATATATATCCATCCTAAGAGTCCTACTAGTGTAGGTTCGAGTAGCTGCTATGCTTAGGTTGTCGGTAGCGTGAGTAACCTGTCGTTACTCATAATAGGTGATTATTATTACTTTCATAACAAAAATGATGAAGAGAAAATGGAGATCGGGCTAGGATAAGGCATGGGTTATTGGTGGGCGTAACAAGTTGTGTCCCGCGGCCACGGGGCTTAGCTTGGTTACACTGTTTTTCTTGTCCGTGTCGATTGAGGACCGTCCGTTGTTGTGCATGGTAGTCAGGTCATAGACTTATTATCCTGAGCACATACTTGCTTATGGGAGCGGGAAGGCTCGTTGCGCTCTTGTCATGGGTTCTGGCTCTTTTTGAACTGACTGATTGAAGGCGGGGAAAGGTGGAGGTCTAAGCATCATGCTGAGATCGGGTCTCAAGTGTGGGGGCTTGGAGTTCAAGTTTGGACGGAGACCTGGACCCCTCGATAGGAGTGGAGTGGGTTGGTCTCGTTTATGCCTGGGGTACAAGTGAGGCGTATGCTTCGGGGTATCCAGCTGGGATACATTGGTTTGCGAATTGCCATTTCCGTGAGACGGTACGACTTGACTATGGTCTAGCACTGTAGTAAAAACTGAAAGATAAAAGATGGTAAAATAGTTCTGATTGCTCAACCCTTTCTGGAAATTAGAACAGGTGCATACCTAGAATGGTTAGCTAATTAAGCAATCATGACTGCTAATAAAACTTGACCTAAGGACGTACTTTTAATAATACTTTTTTGCAAACAAAAGAAAACAGCAGACCATATTGCCTATCATGTTCCTTGCGAGTTGAGAAACTATTCCCACTAGTCGGGTAAGTCTTGCGAGTACATTGTGTACTCATAGTTTATTTTACCCTATTGCAGGTGCAGCTTGAGGAGTTAGCTCTTGTGTGGAGGATTCTTCTGGTGGGCACAGATAAATCCGTGTATCGTTTCTGCTAGATGATTATTATATTTCCGTTGTTTAATTATCGCACTCTGAACTCTGGTATTGTAATAAATAATTGTCAATACTTTAGGTTGTATGAAATGGACTAATAAGTATTATAAGCTCATACTCATTTTTGAATTCTGGATGTAAAACATCAATTATTTTGAGTTCTCTTTTGGGGTGTGCTCGACGGAACTATCCGGTATAATCCACTTTCGGGGTGTTTAGTGTCTAGTGGAAGACAAACTCCTCCAAAAATATGCTATTTCATACGGTTCTGCCACGTAGCACTACTAACGAAATTTTAGAACTTACTTAAACTTTGACACTCTCGAGGACAAGCATCTACTAAAAACTCACTGAAACTCTAAAATTCACTGAAATTTTAAGACTCGTTAGAATTCACTGGAGTACTACTTGTGCAAATGTCTAAAACTCTAGCACTACTGAAATGCGTGGGCTGTACCAGATGAACTTAAAAACTTAGTCAAGCTTAAAGACGATAGAGGATGGTTTGAGATGTCGCGAGGACTAGATGGGTGGCTTTATATAGAGCCATGGAATTGAGCCACCGAGAAATTCAAATTTGGGAGGACAATGGCACTTGATCTTTAGTACTTTACTATGGGTACTGAATGATATACTTTCCCCATTCCAAATTATACTTCCCCCAATCCAAATTATAAGATGTTTTGTTTTTTTAATATATTGCTTTTACTATTTATCTACATATAGTATATATCTAAGTACATAACAAAAACCACGTATCTATAAAAGCTAAAACATCATATAATTTGGAATAGATGGAGTAGTAAGCTATGGGTTGGTAAAATATTTGAATTCACGGTGCATTTCGCTAAAGATAATTGGTGAAAGTAAATGAGAGGTAAAAGGATTAGTTGAAGATAATTGGTTAACGTAAATGGGACTTCAAAAATCTTTTTTCAGTGGGAATGAGAATTCCTATAGGATGTAGAATGAGAGTTTAAGAGGGTCAACTCTCACAAATGACTAACTTCTTACCACTTATGAGGAGAAGGGTGGGAGTTAGTGAAAATTATACTTTAAGTCGAAGAAAAATGCATCTACGACGTTCACATGGTACAATTTCCCACTCTCAAACCCTCACAGAAAACAAAAAGACATGAATTGACTACTCAATATATCCTTCTTAATTCCCTCCACAATGTGCACACACGAGAACAACTTTCGCGCATGTGACTACTCTCTAAACCTCCACAGCTTAGGCTGTGGCTGGTCGCGCCTCTCGCGCATGTAACAGTTGTTTGCTGACCCCTTCTTATGATAAATCAAAGCCGGGTAACCGGATCTTTCAAAAAAAAAACTTTTGAAGCCCAAAACGATGAAGTCGAAGCTATTTTTTGTCAGAAACCAAAGACACCATAACATGGTTTTACTGTTTTTTTTTTTTACCCTACCAAAAAGGTCCTAAAAATCAAGCTCCCAAGTGAATTCCATCTGTAAACTCCTACTGCTATTTCACATGTCCGATCGATCCTTCCTATCTGTCGCCAAACCCACCATAGCTAATGTTTTAACTCTACAAGAATTATCCTTTGTCTCGATCTTTCAAAGTTTCCACATTTTACTTTCTTTTCTTGTCACAAACGTGCACCCAATAATATAAATTTGTGATCTCTAGAGAGAGAAAATAAATAGTCAAACTTTTTATCATAAAATTTTTGTATGGATGATATCACAACATTGTCGTTACTAGATTCATTATAAAATATTTATTTAATAATAGTACATAGCTCTTTCTATTTAATATAATATACTTTCAAAGTGTCATATTGAAGATCATGTCAATGTCCGTGGATTTTTACATTTTTTCATCGCCTCTGATTCCAAACATAGGTCATTTTAGACTTGTGCACGGTAAAGAATATCAAAGGAGCTTAGTGCCCTTTGTTTTTATGTATTGGGAAGACAATTTTTCATTCATGAGGGTGATAGTATTTGTTAAGTAGGAGAAAGGAAGGAAGAAAAGGGTAAGAAACACATAGAAGGTAGGACCTCTAAAACATTTTCAAAAAAAATGAGAAGGTTAAAATGACCTAAATTTTATTAGGATAAAAAACTTGTATTGAGATTTTCAGCAGTGAGCAGCAGTTACAAGATAATTAAATGGAAAACTGTGGGTGCTAACTTACTTTTCTTTTTCTAAAAAGTACAATGAGAAAACTATGTATCTTCTTCTGTCAGGTATGGTGTGCGGCGAGTGCAAGCAGCTATTTTGGGCATAAACCAAACAACTGACTGCACCTGATACTTTGATATTCCCATATACAAGGTGCAAATCAAAGGAACCTAAGGTATAATTGACATCAGCCAAAGTTTATATTCCATCATCCCACCGAGGCAGGTTTGCACTAGCTTCATTGACCATTTTTACTAGAGTAACCTGCATTGAGAAAAGATTAGGAAAGGCCAGATTAGTTTGTCAAGTACATTAGCAGTCAAAAGAAAAGTTCATGTAAATGGTGAGCATTTTAAAATAATCATGTGGATGGTGAACATTTAAAACACATCGATACCATAATAGATTCATTGTATCATAACAAAAACATGCCAAGCCTTTTCAATTTATCTGCTAATACACGTACCACACTTTCTGGGACTCCAGGAGGGGGCAATGTAAGATTTCTTGGTGGTGGCCTATCTGGGAATGATCTTTTGTCAAATCGCCATTCACCAACTTTCCCATAGGTCAATTCACCCTGAAAGATTATTTATTGCCAAATACTGTCAGTGAAATAACAGGAGCAGTAAAATACCTACTTTATGCACTCAATTTTTTTACCTTCATATGAAAACCAGATATATAGAAGAAATTCAGCAATTTGGGATTCTAATACCTTTAGTGAATAGTCGCATCCATAAGTAAAGTGGATTATAAATGTATTCCCGAGCCTTGTATCAAAGGGTGGCTGCATTTGTTGTTTACCATCATGTCAATCAAACACATTATTTGAAGTGAGGAATACTATCAACATAAAAACGCAAACAAATGGAGCACCTGGATCATGAAATCTTTACGAAGGATATGCTGAACCCCATGCAATGCGCTAGCAACAGCGTATGCATACCTAAAGGTCAAAGAAAAAGGCTGGAATCGTAATAACATAACAAGTGAACATAAGAACTTGCACAATTTGCATACAGGATAAGGTAATTCTTACATTTCCAACACCCATCCAAAAATTTTATCTGTCTCTTTATCCTCTTTCATTTGAATTGACACATTCATCCATGTGGGGGCAATCTTCTCAAGAAGTGTCTGAAAAGTTTTCTCACATGAAAAGAGATTTTGTTAAGTGAGGTATTATGAAGTTACTAAACCCAAACAGTAAGCAAGTGAAGTAAAAAACCCTGAATGCTAATGCACCAAATGGATGGTCAGCAAATCAATACATGCGTAGGTAAAGGGTGTTAAGCGTGCAACAAGAATTACCTTCTTAATGATTACAGGAGAATTCCCAATAGGATCGATATCTGTGACGGGGCCTCTTTCTTTAGCATAGTATTTCCTGATAATTTTTTCATGTTTTGATGGTGTAATGTAAAAAAAGGGGAATGCTGCTGGATCATTGTCAAGGGCCAAATTTGGTAAAGGTTTCACAAATATATGATCTGGTTCTGCCATTAGTATGTACCTGCCATTTTCACCAAAGCAGAACAGTCATATACACATTAAATTAGTATAATCCTTATTATTTAAGAATGAAGAAGGAAACTATTCAATTTTTGCTATTTTATAAGTCATGCCTTACTGTACGCTAAATCACGAAGTTTGTGTGGAAGGTTAAAATTTGCAACTAAAAAGAAAGTATATAACAAAATAAAAAAACACAGAATACATGTGAACTTACTCTTCTTCAATCCTTGCTTTCTGAAGCCACTGCACAAATGCCCACGGTCTGTTCAGGACCACATATCCCTGCAAAAGAACATTGGAATGTCAGGGTACAGGCCATCAAGACTAAATGTCAGACAAGCAAATCAGTTGAATAAATACTTCAATCACGAGATATCAACAGATAACAGAGTACTGTACATGCTAAATGCTTTTTTTTTTAATTCAGCGAGCAAGTTTCTTGACAAATCACAATCCGAAAATAAAAGTTGAACCGCGGCAAGAAATTTTACATCTACAAAATATGTGCATACAAATCTTCTGTATCCCCACATTGCCCCACGTTGATGAGAATATAATCAAACAGGCCGAAGGAGATGGTGGTTTTGTTGTTTATACGATTGCGTACATGGTCCTTGCCAGCGGGCAGCGGGTCGACGACGAAGGTGGGGATCTCGTCCATGAGCCCGTCGGGCTTCCCGGAGTGCAGCACGCGCGTGAAGCCGCCCATGGCCTCCCCTCCCGGCCGCGCCTGCATTCGCTTGTACCAGAAGTACATGACTCGGCACTGCCACCGGCTGTAGGGCGCGTCCGTGGCCGTGAGCGCCACATGGAACGGCCGCCGCCGCGCCTCGGTGTCCGCTGCCTCGCGCATCCACGCCGGCATGGCCACCACAGGGTCCCTCGTCCCCGCGGACGCCGCCGCGCCTATTCCGCCGCCGGCGCCGCCGCGGAACAGCATGGCGAAGAAGTTGTAGGAGATCAGGAACGCCCCGGCCGCCACCAGCGCTAGTACCAGCGCCGGCGCGCGCGCCATGCCGCCGCCCGCGGCCTTCCGCGCCGCCGCCGCGTTCATCGCTCTCTTTCCTCTGTCTCTCCCCTACTCTGTATCCCTCTTAAAGAGAGGAGAGAGATTCTAGAATTCTTGGCGTGCGAGTTCGGGTTGGGAGGGAAGCCGCAAGCGAGGACTGAGAATTAGGAAATGGCAGTACAGCAATTCCTAGAACAAATGACGTGGTATCCTTCAATCGATCAAAGAAAATGGCGGACAAGTGCGGCGGAAGCGTGACGGCGACGCTCGCTTACAGGTGGGCCCGTTGCTGAGAGGTGGCCTGGGGGGCCCGGCATGGAAGCCAGCTCGTCAAGGGGTCGAGTCAACGGCAGCTCACCGGGTAGAGCTTTGACACTGCTGCGCGATCGCACGTGCGCCTTGCATTCTTGTGCCGCAGGTTCCATCGGTTTCAGCGAGTTGATTACTGATTTAAGGTGGTTTGCACTTTGCAGCAGATCTGGTACGCACAAAATTTTCTAGATTCGTACACCTTTTTTTGTGAACATATAGATTCATACACTGAAACACATAATTGTTTGTCTTTCTATTTTATTTGTAACTCTCAAATGTATCTATCGGATTTCGTACCGTCGATACACGCATAAACACGTGGTTCTAAATCATATATAGGCACGAATCATGAGTCCTGACCAAATACGAATAAGAATAAACCCGACGACATTTGGGAGACAAGAAGAACAAGCGAAAGAATTACTTCGCTCTTTATTTTTATTATAGATAGATATAGACTTAGATCGTAGATAGACTTATTTATTTACATGTCAGATTAGATAATCCAACTTATAGATGTGAAAGACAAAAATAAAAATAAACTAAAATAAGTCAAATAAACTGTTCTTGGGCAACTTATAGGATTGTATAAGTTAGGGTTTGCCTAAACTATACAAATTAAATTCTAAGAGTGTTTTAATGACAATTTGATGTTAGGTAAGCTGGCTTCTCCGTATCTAGAAGGTCCTTGTGCTTCTTTGTTGTGTGTAGTTGATGAAGTGTTGTGTAATAAGGCGCTTGATTCTCCAATCAGGTGGGTTGGAGTGATCCGAGGAATTTAGGAAATGTACAATATCTTCGACTATCACATAAGAAGTTATGTGTTGTAGGTGCAGTCGATCAGTGACAGCTGCAACAATAGCCAGAGCTGCTGCCTCAGCCATTAGAACCGATTAAAAGTCTATCATGGTTGCATTGATGTATATGTTTTGTGGTGGATGAACCTATGTATTGATAATGAAAACGACAGACTGCCTTGATGTAGATGTTTTGTGGTGGATGCAGATAATGAAAACTCCTAGTCCAGGGCAAAGAGGTTCGATCAGGCATTGTTGATGTATCCGTGTAACATCTTGAGCGTATCAGCAATCCTGGAAGTTGGAAAGTGTATCTGTCTACGGATGTCGCCATGTACCTATGCGTCTGTATTGTTGGTGGGCTGGTTCCTATAATAACAGCATTCATACCTGATAGGGTGTCGGTGTCTGATGATCGGTAACCAATGGCAGAACTAGGGGGGGCTAGCTGGGGCCAAGGCACCCTAACATCTAGGAAAAATAAAATACCTGCAATCACTGTAGCAGTAATTATTTTCAAGTGAAGGAGAGGTTGAATGTGTTGTCTCCATGTGTTACCTTGTTCTCGGCCCCCTGAGTTGTTTGCCTGGTTTCGCCACTGTCGGCAACCACGTTACGTGGTTACCCGGAACAAGGATTGGTGGCTTCGGCGTAAACTGAACTCAATGATTAAACGGGAAAGAACGATTTATACTGGTTCAAGCCGCTAAATAGCGTAATATCCTACGTCTAGTGTGACGTCTTACCTTGTGTTGGATTGTTGTGTATGATATGTTACAGGGGGGCCCTGCCTCTCTTTATATAGTCCAGAGAGCAGGCGCTTAGTTCTAGTCCTAATCGGTTACAATAGAAGAGTTCTAATCATATTACAGAGATAGACTTTCCTATAATCCAACTAGGTCGGTTCTTGCCTTGGAGAGCACACCACTTTGTATCGCGCCTTCCAGGCCCTATAGGGAACCCATAAGATCTTGGTCCGTCATAGGGCGACGTCATAGGGAACCATCGCCTTCTAGGTAGACGATTGCTTGCAGGTGAGTGAAATGATCCACGATTTCCTCAAAGGGAAATCCATAGATTACATCATAATGTGGTAGTCCAGGAAGTACAAACTATCATATTATCATTATTCAGTTGATATCACAGTTCATATATCACGGAATTACAAGATTATAAGACATTACAACACTTGGTAACATACCTAAGTACATCGTTATTCTAGCAGAAACGCACACATATCTTCATTAGAGTCGATGTAGCGCGTCAACGGGTGAAGGCTCCTCCTTCACAGGCAATCTTCAGAGTCGGCATAGGATGTCAGTGGGCGTAGACTTCATCTCCTCAACCAAACTTGAGCGCAGGAATGAGACCACCTAATCCTTCTAATCTCTGTTGTCGTCATCGTAGATGTCATCCGAACCTGCCAAATATCTTTCAGTACGATTTGTATTGGCCACTGGCTCCCACCCTATGCTTTGTGTTGCTTTTGTGGTAAGTGGCATGCAAGGGTAGAGCAAAAGACCTATTTATGGTTATAGTTTTCCTATGCAAGTTCATCATTATTTTATAATAGTTCATCAAGTTTTAACCCATCTTCAGCATGTTCGGTTGGCTATGGCTTGTCATAAACGATCGTAAATTTCTAGCCAGAACAGTATTTTTCTCTCACACAAACTAGCCAGCAGTACTTCTTTACGAACCAGCAACGAAACGAACCAGCCAACCGAACAGGCTGCTTATCCACATGTTCACCCATCCCATCACACCCATCTCACCACACTCTCACTCTCTAGGCGGCAAGGATGACTTCCTCTCGTGCCTTGCCTCAACGGCCAACGCCGGAATCCAACACCACACCCAGGGGGGAGAAGAAGAAAGGACTCCACTCACTAATCAAGGGAAGCGTAGGTCATAGGATGTCCATATCCGAGGATGTGGTTATACGTATAGATCGATCAACTCTATAGAGCGTGTACACCTAGAACCACAAGATCACCATCATTGGCGGTGCCCTACCTAGGCTGATACTAGGCTACCTTCCAACCAGTGCGATGCCACCCTACCACTCAGCCCTGGGCCACCCCGGAGTCCACCAAAACGTTGAGACTGTGAGACGTAGTACTGGGACCCAGAGGTCACTACGCTGTCTTAGGAGGGTGTGGGCCACATGCCTATACCTTCCTACACTATCCACTTCCAACCTAGTAGTAGTGGCACCGTCCTAGCTGGTCAGCATCCGTCCCCCACCCATTCAGGAACGAGTGGCGTGCACGTAGGGTCCTATGATCTGGTTCTCTCAACATACCAATCCTTAGGGGGACCGAACAGGATATCTTATCATAGGGGATAACCAACACCCCATGCCTCGATGGCACCTCTATCCTAGGGCTTCATCCCATAAAGACACTCCACCCCAAGATTTCCTCATCTCACATGCACCCGCCACAGGTGCCTCTCGTAGGGGATGCCCAGGTCGCACCCCCCAGCAAGACTCGTCCACTGACTCATCGTAAGATCCTGCCTAATTGACTCAACCCTCACCACACACCCAAGATGCATGCCAAGATCTCCCCGGTTGTTACCACATTATTGACACCAAGTGCCTTAACCACTCACAAACAACCCTCCACCAAGCATCACATCACAGATATAATGCGTAGTAAAAGCAGTAGCAAGTAAGTAAGCGAGCATCTAGCCTAACAACGGGTGTGTAGGGGTATAGGTTGCGACAAGGTAACGACTCACAAGCAATTCTACCATGCAACCTATCACAAATCATTTGCACAAAAGTAAAGCGCTAGCATCTACATTATAGCATGTCTAATAGGATTCTACAAGGTTGGGTGGGATGTGGCACCTGTTGATTGGTCATCTCTGAGACCTTCAGTGTACTCACAGTTGATCTCCTCAAAGTCCTGTTGTTGTCCGCATTTCCTTCCTCCAACGGGTTCTGGCCCGATCAATGCTATCCTTGATGCAACTACCTCGATAGAGCGACAAGCAAGACAGAAAGCAATCAATACTCTAAAATGGCAACAAGACACGATAGAACAACTACATCGAAAGAACACCATAGGGAAAATGACTTAGCCCTCTCGACGGATGTCCGATCCCTGGACCAAAAGAAACAGAAGTGGTTGTTTGCTAAGCACAAGCTTAAGTCTTAGCCTAGCTAGTACTTCCCGAGTCAATCGTGCCGACCTATATGGCTTCTATAAAAATGGCATAGACCCTATGTCGACAGAATATCATCGGTAGTCCTCCAAGGGGTATCCCACGAAGGTAGATTGATCGACAGAGGTGCGTGTAATCGAGAACAAGAAGGCAACAGAGACACAAGAGTTAGATAGGTTCGGGCCGTCAGCACGACGTAATACCCCAACTCCTGTGGTCTATTGGATTGTATTGGCTATCGTATGATATTGCATGTGTTTTGAGGGGGTCCCTGCCCGCCTTATATAGTCTGGGGGTAGGGTTACAAGTCGGTTAGATCTAGGAGATAACCGAAAAGTAATAACAGATTACAGGAATCATGGGATCATACGTATCCTAACAGATCTCGTAGTATCTTCAGGATATCTTCCCAGTGTCTTGCGGGGCACGCCGAGCAGCGCCATGCTCCGCAAGACACATGATCTATCATGGGTATCTAGGGTCGTACCCCCCATAGCTAGTCCCCGAGTGCCTTGTATCCATTGTGCAACGCCGTCTTGAGCTTGTCCGAGCAGGTGTGAACAAAGTCGAGCAGTCAGACTCATGGTCCGACCATCGTGATGAGTTGTCGAGTAGTTGTGAACCATCGCCGAGCAGTTGTCAACCGTCGCTGAGCAATGTATCCCAAGTAAGGCTTGCCATAAGGATGTAAGGAGCTCAAGTTCAAAATCAAAAATTTCCTCACAGTGGACCAAGTGTGCCCAATTAGAGTCCGACCACGAG